CACATTTGTACATTCCATAATTTCGAATTGTTTGAATTCGAGACACCCAGATTCTTTAAATATTCTACAATGGGCCCAGGAAGGGCCCTGGACATAACTTGGATTATTTGAACAGATATGTTGTTCAGGACCTCCAACATTTTGAGCAAAATAAGCAGCTCGCATTTTGGAATTATTTGAACTTTTTCATTAGGAAAAGTTTATTTTCGGAACTAGCCCAGGGGGTGCCCTTGAAATTGTTTAAATTGTGTGAAATATCTAAATACTTAGTTACCCAAACATGTTCATTTGTTCTAACTATTTAGGACGTTGGACACAAATGAATCTGGAGTTCTCCAAAAGGCGCCCGTCCCTTTGAACATATTCGAGTAGAAAGCATGTTGTTTTATGAGACATATTCTAAGTAGACTAGTTGTTCAAATCATGTTGGTTAATAATAGTTAGACAAAATAAGGTGCTGTTTTCCAAATATTGACACGATTCTCAAAGATTCGTGTAATTAGGCTAATTAGACCCACGTTGAGAAATAGAATAAGTACCAAGCGATTGACCTTTAACTCCCCAGAAAACACCCGTCCCTTTGAGAATAATTAGAATACTTAGCATGATTATGAACCATGAGAATCATTGGATTAGATAATAGATCTGGAATTCCTGAAAGGGGCCCATCCCGTTGGGAACCATTGGACTAAATCAAATCATTATGATAAGTACAATCATTAGCAAGAATATGGATCTGGAATTCTCCCCCCCCTGGAAGTAATTGTTTGGAAAACATGAATGTGGAACTCTGGACCTCCCCAAAAGCACCCTACCCTTTGGGAATGAGAATGATACATAGAGCAATTATCAGAAGGTGCAAAGCTATGAACCTGGAATTCCCCACTTGGAATAAGTAGAAGCAAAAATAGCAATGATAAGTAGGCTAGTTTGCAAAACATTAATCTTCAACTCCACAAAGGCACCCGTCCCTTTGGGAACGACGTCCCTGTGGGAAGAATGATTATAACAAGTTGATAAGTAGCGCTAGACTAGAAAATGAATCTGGAATTCCTCAAAAGGGACCCGTCCCGTTGGGCAGAATTGAAATAATCCGGGTACTTCCAAAAACAGAAAATATCTGAAGTAGAAGGATTAGAGATACTATGAGTCTGAAATTCCCCAATTTGAGGAATGAAGAAATTGAAAAACAAGAATCTGGAACTCCCCACAAGCACCTGTCCCTTTGGGAATGACAATAATAAATAGAGCAGTTATCAGAAGTAGAATCACTAAAAACATTGAAAAAGGCACCTGCCCCTCTCGGAATAAGAACAATCATTATAATAGCTACGATGAGTAGACAACATTTCCCAAACATGAATTTTCAATTTCCCAAGGGCACCCGTCCCTGTGGGAGTAATTAGAAAAATAGAGCAGTTAGAATAACCAGAATAATTGAACACACATGAACCTGGAGATTCCCAGAAGGCACTTGTTCCTTTGAGAAGACTGATCATAAGAAGTAGAAGGGACCCGCCCCGTTGGCAATAATTGGAAACGCGGGTAGTAATCCGAATTTCCCCAAATGTCCGCAAATTTGGGAATGACCAGTTGCAAAAACAAGAGCCTGGAATTCCCGTCCCTTTGGGAATGAGAATGATCAGAACAAGAAGCAGAATCAATAGAAAAAAGCAATGAACCGGAATCCCCCCAAAGGCGCCCGCCTCTCTTGGAATAAGGAGAAAATCATGGCGATGATAAGTAGGCTAATATGCAAAACATGAATCTTCAATTCCTCAAAGGCCCGCCCCCTTGGGAATAATAAGAAACAACAGAACATGTAGAATAACTAGAAAGATTAGAACAAACATGAATCTGGAGATTCCCTAAAGCACCCGTCCCTTTGGGAAGAATGATTATAATAAGTTCATGAGTAGATTGAATCTGGAATTCCTCAAAAGGGACCCGTCCCGTTGGGCAGAATTGAAATAATCTGGGTACTTCCAAAAACAGAAAATATCTGAAGTAGAAGGATTAGAGATACTATGAGTCTGAAATTCCCCAATTTGAGGAATGAAGAAATTGAAAAACAAGAATCTGGAATTCCCCACAGGCACCTGTCCCTTTGGGAATGCCAAGAATAAATAGAGCAGTTATCAGAACTAGAATCATTAAAAACATTGGAAAAACAAACATGATTCTGGAGCTCAACAAAAGGCACCTGTCCCTCTGGGAATAAGAATAATCATTATAACAGCTACGATGAGTAAACAACATTTCCCAAGCATGAATGTTCAATTTTTCAAGGGCACCTGTCCCTGTGGGAGTAATTAGAAAATTAGAGCAGTTAGAACAACTAGAATAATTGAACACACATGAACCTGGAGATTCCCAGAAGGCACCTGTCCCTTTGAGAAGACTGATCATAAGAAGTAGAATAGTGTAGCAGACAATGAATCTGGAACTCCTCAAAAGGGCCGCCCCGTTGGCGATACTTGGACAATGCGGGTAGTTCCAAAACACCTGAAGTTGAATAAGAGAGAGAGACCATGAATCAGAATTTCCCCCAAATTTGGGAATGACCAGTTGCAAAAACAAGAGCCTGGAATTCCCGTCTTTTTGGGAATGCGAATAATCATGAGAAAAGTATATCAGAAGTAGAATCAACAGAAAAAAAACTATGAACCTGGAATTCCCCAAAAGGCGCACGCCTCTCTTGGAATAAGGATAAATCATGGCGATGATAAGTAGGCTAGTATGCAAAACATGAATCTTCAATTCCTCAAAGGCACCCGCCCCCTTGGGAATAATAAGAAACAACAGAACATTTAGAAGAACTAGAAAGATTAGAACAAACATGAATCTGGAGATTCCCTAAAGGCACCCGTCCCTTTGGGAAGAATGATTATAATAAGTTCATGAGTAGATGTGCTAGACTAGAAAATGAATCTGCAATTCCTCAAAAGGGACCCGTCCCGTTGGGAATAATTGGAATAATTTGGGCACGCCCAAGAACAGAACATATTGTACGTAGAGTAGTTAGAGAAACAATGAATCTGAAAGTTCCCCAATTTGGAGAATAAAGAATTGGAAAAAGCAAGAATCTGGAATTCCTCGCAAGCACCCCCCCCTTTGCGAATGACAAGAATAATGGGAAGACGTACAAGGCACCCACCTCTTGTGTAGTAATTGTTGTACCTAGAACAACAAAGGTGCCCGTCCCTTGTAAATAATAATGATAGTAGTATTTTACAAGACTGATGATAAGTAGACTAATCAGCGAACGTGAATCTTGAACTCACTAAACGGCACCTTCCTGTTTGGGACCAAATAGAAAATAGGGAAATAATCTAGAACTTACTAAATGGGAGCTGCTCATTTGGGAATGGCTCGAATAGTTTGAACAATGCGGGAACCACGAATCTCGCCACCAACAGGCCCCATCCCTTTTGACACAATTATCCTACCCAGGGCAAACACGAGCTTGGAATTCCCCAAGACGCACCCCAGCTCCCTAGGGATTCAATTAGAATAATATAGAATGATTATGATAAGTAGAATACTTAGCAATCAGACCTCTTGAATTCCCCAAAAGTCACCCGTCCCTTTGGGAATAATGATGAGAATTAGAAGAGTTATGATAAGTAGAATAGATAGAAAACATGAATCTGGAATTCATCAAAAGGCACCCCACTTTTTGGAAGAAGTAGAATACTTAGATTAGTTCAAATAATTAGCACAAACATAAATCTGGAGTTCCCCCAAAGGCACCCGCCCCTTTCGCAATAAGTATATAAATGAGAATAATTGTAATTTTGTGGGGAAGCATACCCAATAATTAAGACAGTAGGACAAAGATGGGTTTGGAATTCTCCAAAAGCAACCCGTCCCTCTGGGAAGAATTATAATAATTAGAACAAGTAATATAGTTATGATAAGTAGAATAGCTGGCAAACATGGATCTTGAATTCCACAAGACACACCCGCCCCTTTGGGAATGATTAGAATGAGAATAAGTTGATTAGTTAGAATACTATAGTTGAAACACACATGAATCTGGAATTGGGATTTCCGAAAAGGCACCAGTCACCCGTTCCTTGGGAATAGCTAGAACAAAGGAACTAATTAGGGGCGGATTCCCCACAAGGGGCCCCGTGCCGTTGGGAATGCGTGCTACAACCAGAATAATCAGAACAGAATGACCTGGAAACCACACTGGACTTCACCAAATGGCTTGAAAACAACGAGAATCCTTAGATTTGCTTAAGTTGTTAGAATGAGTAAAATAATTAGATCAACCATGAATGTTGATTTCCCCAAAAGGTACCCTCCTGTGGGAATACATCAGAGAGTGATGATTGCTATGAGAAGTAGACTAACTCGAACACATTTGACCCAAAATGCACCCGCCCTTTGCGAATAAATATAAAATCACGTAGAATGATTCGAAAACACGTGAATCTGGAATTCGCCAAAGGGCACCCGTCCCTTGGTGAAAAATATGCAACAATCAGAATAGCTGTAAGAATTAGGACAATGCACCTGGAATTCCCCAGAGCGCGCCCGTCCCTTGGGTAATAAATAGAACAAGTATAAATTTCAATGAGCTAGAAGAAATTGTTTCGGAATTCTCCAACAGTCCCCTGCCCCTTTGGGAGTTTCTAGAATGATTCGAAAATTAAAAATAAAAAGGGTGTTTTGTTTGTGTTAGTGTACTTGGTGTGTGTGTGTATTGCTTGAAACTCTGTTTGAGTGCCCTTTGTGCTCTCAGTTTTTCTCTCTCTCTCTCTCTCTCTGCTTGTGTTTGCGTGCGTGCGTGCGTGCGTGCGTGCGTGCTTGCGCGCGTGCGTGCGTGCGTGCGCGCGTGTGTGTGTGTGTGTATCATGAGTGAGGGAAACATCCCCCCGCGCGTACCACTTTTGGGGAAACAATCATCCCGCGCGCGCACGCCACATAGGACCTGATCTTCCCTGCCACCCCCCCCCCCCCCCAAAACCTTCGATTCCTCTGCAGCGCACCTCCGCGCTCAAGATCCAGAGCTGCTGGAGCGCCCTCGTAGATGCCGCCGGGCTCCAGGTTGCTTCCTGTGACTTATGTTGTGTTTTGGGTACTGTTTGGGAGGATTTTACGGACAACCAGAAGAAGAAACACACTCCACATGGCGAGAGGTGGCCGATTGGATGCGGGCCAAAGCAGGCCCCGAACAATGATGTCTTCGGGCGTTTTGGATTCCAAGTTTTGTTGAATCATAAGTCCGCCACCAAAGAAACATGGAGAGCCGTCGGATCAAAGCTTGGTTTACCTGTTGGTTCCCCTTTCAACTGACCTTCCACATGTGGTCCTGGTTGCAACCCAGTGGCTTTCCACGCTGGTCAGGGGCTGCAAAAGAAAGGGGTCCGTATTGTTGCTCTACCCCAATAGTTTAAAGACAAACCATGGCAAAGTCCTCGCAAAGAAAAACAGGGCACCACTGGATGTCTGAGAGTTGCCCTTTATAGGGCGAGGGTCTGGTTGATTTCGCAAGTTTCGCAATTCCCTGATCTTCCTCGCAAGTTACCCCTCGCGCCTTTCCAAGTCAGGCTGCCCGGGCGCAGTGTCGCTCCGTCTCCGGCATCGCACATGGCAACCTCGAGTACTATAAGTTCCATGCACCAAGGGGGTACTTACGGTGACTGTAGGTTTCAAGGGAAACCCAACGGAACCCACCCATCTTTCGGGGCCACTATTCTGACACATACCCATATTATATACTTCAACTACTAGCACTCTCATGTCAGCCTCAGATCTAATGATTGCAGATTCGAGGGCCAACATCCTGGGGCCTCAAGCAAGATAACCTGACACCCGGAGAGAACTGCAGTCGCTATTACTCATGGCAAGCAGCACTTGCACCTGTCATGATGGTCACTCCGTGGCCGATCTTGAAGTGCGTGAACTTGAGGCGGAAATCCTCCGCGGCACAGCCACACAAAAATACCCTTTACCGACGTTGGCCCCGACCAGCAGCATCATGACAAATGGGTCTTTTTAGCTGTAGTGTTGCGAGTCCAAAAAATCCCACTGAGATTTGTAATTTAAGCAGCGCCCAAACCCATTGACCTTTGGTTCTGCTAACATGGCTGTAAGGTGTTTATATGCAGTACTACAAACTCCATGAGGAAGTGGAACCACCTGCTGACAATGCCACGATGATGGTCAACAGGGTTTTGGACGCTGCTCATCAGGCTGGCGACCACAGGCTTGACCCCACTAACCTGGTCCGACTTACACCTCGCCGCATCGAATCTACTTGGGGCTGTGCAAATAGGGGCATCCATCAAATTCTGGATTTGCTTCTGGTTTCCCTTTATATAGAGCAAACCTCCAAAGCCCTCAAACAACCACCACGCACATACACACGTCCACTCGCGCGGATGGATTCGGTCCTCAAAGGAATGGCATCGAACTTGGCCGTCGTAGTCCACGGTCACGTCATCCCCCACCTCTGTGAAGGGCGCATCCACCAGGACCATCTCATTCCTCGGATCCGGAGCGATGCCTCACAAGCGTGCACCTTACCCTCCGCCTTACCCCTTGGTGATTCACCATGTTTGGATTTTTGCTGATGGACTTGGCCTTGGGCGCCTTTCAAGGGTTATCGGTGAGCCCTTATCGTTCTGCTGTGAGAGAAAGGAAGGGGAGATGAGAAGTGATAGAGACCCAAACCCATCCACAAAACCAAGCATCAAAATTCGATCAAATGAAGATGGGTTTGGCCACCATCTTTGCTATTCCCTTCCACCCTTTTCTTGAACCCCTTTTCTTGAAGTAGGCATTAAGATGGCAAGGGATGGAAGGAGAGATAGGATGAGGAAGGGCCAATTCTTTCTCTCGCATACCGACTCTCTCCGCTCGTTTACCCGGCATGCGATTCCAAGAGCTGACAGCATGAGAGAGAGAGAGAGATGCGACACAATGGGATTGATTCTGCTTCCATCATCTCGCTCCTGCCGTCTCTCACGATAGAACCATCCCATCTATTTGCTTCTCTCACATCATATTGTCCCAGCTCCAACTGCATCATAAGAATGGGAGCTGGGGAGAGATGAGCGTGGGACAGAGATGACCCGTCCGTCCTGTCTGCTCGCTAACTCGCTTTGCTATGGTATCTTCGCCTGTCTGTGTAATCCCAAGAGCAGGAAAGGAGGAACTAGGAAATTTAGACCTTCCTTGCCTGGCATTTGAACTCTGCTCACGCTTTCTGCCTTGGGCATTCACTTTACACTGGTATCTGAGTGTATCTAATTACCAATGTACCCCTAAAGCCAGGGCTGGTCTAGGCAGTTCTAGGTTCACTTTTGTGATGCCATGGTAAACTTCCATACAATGAAGAGTTAGTTACTGGGCCTCGGGCATCCACCGACAGTTCTTCGGGAGGCTAATTGGAAAGCTGACCCGCGTCGTCTGAAGACTGGACGGGCAATCGTTACGTGCCAAAATGCGCCTGACGCCACGGTGCGCTGCTGACACGCGAAGAGTTGCAGCAGAAGCGAGAGGCCTTTAGCCTCCAAAGAGCTGCGGAGGGGGCTTCACCGCCGCCATAGCAGCAGCAGTAGCAGCAATAGAGGGGGTGTAGGTGCACAGTGGACGTCATGTCACAGGTTAGAGGGTGACTATCAATTTGCTCCAAAGAAAATGTTGAATTTCATTAAACGCAAGTCGGTCAAACTTAAAAACATGTGTGCCATGTCCATGACCATCCAGCCCATGTAGGCCTTCGTTCACCAAGCCCTTCCAGCACTGCCGAGGGGCATGCAAAAGAAGCGCTTCCCCACGCGCGCGCCAAGGAGGCGCAGGATGGGAGCTTGCCACCGGCTGCCCGCCGCCTGGCAACGCGATGCGGGTGGACTTTGTTCCTATGGAGTCAGCCCGCCCGCCCCCCCGGAAGAGGAGAATCCCTAAAACAAAATCAACCAACAGGCACCCTATTCGCTCCTAACAGGCCTGATGAGTCTTTTGAACCCGTATTGGGATTGGGGGGGGGCCATTTGGGCCCTTGTGCACGTACCTTCTGTCAACAGCCTGCCCTAGCTTGAAGGATTTGTGAGCATGCCCTGTAGACGCTTCTCTAGTTTGTTTTCTATTAAACGGAACTTACGTATAAATGGAATCATATTGAACATCAGGAGCGAATCAAACCCTGGCCTGTCTTAAGATAGTAGACGAATACTAAACCAACTTACAACGCCAAAACAATCACTGATTAAACAACCAGTCAAACAATATCATGCACACACTCTGCAATGACATGGGTCTCCCAGGTTATGAACAACCACCGAAGCCAGTCATCACGTATCATGATTCCAAATAGCTTTGCGCCTTTTTAAGCTAGCTCATTGTCGATGATTTGGCGAGTGGGTCCCATGTTCTATTCAGCAAATGATCAATACATTGAATACGTAACGTTAATTAGTGATGTCCGTGCTTTGCAAGAATATTCTGCTAGTCGCATCCTGACAGCCACAATATTTGCAGAACACATACGGCCGGCCAGAGAGCGCGCCTGAAATGGCAGCTTGAAGACCCGCTGCTGCGCAGTGAGTGCAGTAAACCACCGTGTGACGGCAGTGGAGTAGTACGCCTAGGATCGGTTGCTGAACAAACATGAGTCGCAATCAAACACCTAGTACTAGATTTAAAGGGGTGTAACTAGATTTAAAGGGGAGTGAGTAATCTACAGGGCAGCTGCGCTTGTGGCTGGACTGTCTACTGCTGACCGTCACCTGCCCGGGCTTGATGGGAACTCAAATCTATGAGGGTTGTTGAAACTGGGGTCCCGGCCCTAATCCTAATGTACAGTCCGTAAACCATTGGGCAGGATTGATGGTTGATGTTGAACAACCCAGTCTAGTCTCCCCTCCAACAATGTCGTAAAAATTTAAGACCAAAAGGTCCCCTATTTGGAGAAACACACTTAGCTCGTTGCGAACACTTCGAGGACTCGTGTCGAGTCGTGTCCCAGGGCCCCTTCTTGCCCGTCCTTGAATCTTAGCCAACCCAACCTGGTTGGCCAGCATTCAGGACTTGTTTGCGCAGTGGTGGAAGAAGAGGCAGCGAAGGTTGGCGGTCTTTGCACAAAAGTCACCCATGGTGCTACTGAACAACAGGGTTTATTTAAGTGCTGATCTTGAATGCGGCCCGTTTCTTGGGAGTTGGAAGGCAATTCCGTCTATGTCGCCTCGGCTCTCAAACACAGCAGGTTGGCTAAACAAATTCCCTGCCATTTCAAGATGTCCAAAACCACACAAAGGACAGGGACCATCTTACAAATTAACATGGACCGCGACTCCCCCCCTCCCCCGGAAGAAGCTTCCCCCCAAAATGGTCACTTTAAAGTTGATCTCTGCACTGGCCAGCATCCAGCTTCCAAACAAGCCCGATCAAGGTTTCACCAAGCGACAAATCCAAGGGCTCGCTCATTCGGAAGGAACCTCTTGAGGGATCTTGGACGGGCTCTTAGAACCTTTCCGGGCAGGGGGGGGCAATGTTTCTCCTGATCTGTTACACTTCCTCCCAACGATTGCGCATCTGTGACGAAGGGTGCCTGGAAAAGGAACGGAGGGTTGAACCGCCCCAGTTTAAGAAAATGGATCAACCAGCCAACATGGCCCATTCTACTAGCTAGCACCGCACCAGTGGTATTGGGCTCTTCATATGTCCCCGTTCAAACATCACCCCACCCAAAGCAACAACACTTGCACTTGGCCAGGCTGATACTTTACCCAGCCGAGGGAAATACCGTAGGAAACCCTGAGACAGAGAGACATGCAGCGGAGTATGTGCCAAAATAGGCCCCCTAAAAAAAAACGGTTCGCTGTTGGTGTCCCTGCAAACCAACTTACAACAGGGTACCCTTGCAACATCGCCTTTCCAGTCCCTCACTTCGAGCATAGATGCGTTGCTGCGTGGTGCTGCCCCATTGAAGAGCAGGTTGCCTAACACCACCTGAGCTGGAAAAGACTGTTGACAAACCTGGTAACCATATACCAGAGTATCGGCTAGTATCGGCTGTTCTCCTTTGCATCGGTTTGCAGTTTCTTGGCAGCTCTTGCTCGAAAGTCGTGACTGTTCAGCACAAGTGAGGTATACTAATTATCAAAGGAAGTTTAGAAGGAACTTCCGTGTTACGGCAACTAATTGAAAGCTAGCTCTCTCTGAGACAGATGAAGAGAAGGAATAAGCGCGTGAGAAAATATGTGCGCGTGTGGTGGGAGTATAGAAAGCTGCAAAAAGCATGGCCCCGTGCGTGAATTAGTGTCTCCGGAGAGCCGAAAGCTAGCCTGTTCGCGGCGCCTGGTCGGAGCGCGTTCGGACCACGTTCGGAGCGCGTTCGGAGCGCGTTCGGATCGCGTTCGGACCATGCTCGGAGCGCGGGCCCATTGGCACGGCAACGCGAAGGTTTCGCCAGGTTTGAATTGCGTGGCAGGCACAGCACTTTCGCGAGGTCAGGTTCAGATTTCGTGGCAGGCGCAGCACTTTCGCAAGGTCAAGTTTTCCCAAGGTTTGAATGGCGTGGCAGGCGCAGCACTTTCGAAAGGTCAGGTACAGATTTCGTGGCAGGCGCAGCAACTTTCGCAAGGTCAAGTAGGTCATGTATTTCGTGGCAGGCGTCAGCACGTTTTCGCAAGGTCAAGTACAGAATTCGTGGCAGGTGCAGCACTTTCGCAAGCTCGAGTACAGGTTTCGTGGCAGGCGCGGCACTTTCGCAAGTTTAGGTAGAGATAGATAGATATAATAGATTAGAAAGAAAGTAGATAGTTAGAGAGATAGACAGGTAGATAGATAGAGATAGAGAAGATAGAGAGATAGATAGATAGATAGATAGATAGATAGATAGATAGATAGAGAAGATAGATAGACAGATAGATAGATAGATAGATAGATAGATGGATAGATAGATACGCGAGAGATAGATAGATAAATAGATAGATAGATAGATAGATTAGATAAATAGATAGATAGATACATAGATAAGATCGATAAGATAGATGGAGAGAGAGAGATGGATAGATAGATAGATAGATAGATAGATAGATAGATAGATAGAGAGATAGATAGATACATAGAGAGGTAGATAGTTAGATAGAGAGATAGATAGATAGATAGATAAACAGACAGACCGACAATAGATAGATAAATAGATAGATAGTTAGATAGATAGATAGATAGAATTAGACAGATAGACAAAAAGTAGATAGATGGAGATAGATCAGATAAAGAGAGATAGATAGATAGATAGTCAGATAGTCAGATAAAGAGAGATAGATCGATAGATAGATAGATAAATGTCAAGAGACGGCAAGGTGACGTCCCGTGGGACGCTGTGCACCGAACCCTCCAGCTGTAATACCAACCACGTAGAAAGGTGTATACGGACGGTGCCGTTATAGCCGAACCCGTGTAAACGTTGTAAGGGAGAAGGAATAATAGTTACACAGTGGTCCTGACAAATGCAGCAAGCAGCGAGTGTTTTTCTGCTGTCAATGCTGATCACGTGTGAAATGGTGCCACAACATCGATCCTAGAACCTCATCAGGGTTCGAGCCAAATGGTGATCACGGAAATTTGTAGAAGCAACACAAACACAAGACCCTAGAACATTTCCTACCTAGGGTATTTGGCCTAGAGTGGTTTTAACATCCCCCATTTGGGTCGCATTGTTCATCATGCGGTCCAAACACCACAAAACGTTCCACTGGCCACGGCTTCAGCTACGAAATCGTGTCGTGCATTCTTTTACTTGCTATCGCTACACCGTTCATTCGTTGTGAAACGTGCCGGGTTCGATTGCATGAAAAGTGAAACATTCATCCACCAATCGAAGCGCACTCCCATATGCAGGTGTATACAATACACTATTGTCACGTCATTTGACCACCAGTGAACATCCCAGCTGCCGCATTTGCGCATCGCGCAGCCGTCATCCATAGAAAATGGGTTGGCCATAAGAGTCCAACAGAGGCGCCTGCTCGTAAGCAATCTGCATATCTCCGGCAAAGAAATATCGGTGAGCAATCAATGCAAATCATAGCCATTCCAGATACCATGGACAATGCATAAATAATGAAAAGATATCATCTATAAGGTAATAGTTCCATCCATGAATATCCAGAGCGTCATAGTCATCGGAATATGTAACCATGTACACATCCATTCAACTTGGATATATGAAATCATATCATAATGTAAAGTCGTTCCATCGCAATGGTGTTGATGAGACGCAAGCAACAGATGGGGACTAACCCACATCGTGCCGCAATCAGCATCTTCACTACGCATACCGGTCCCCAATGGACAGTCTGTGAGTGCGTCGACGGAACTCCTCGTCCAAGTTCTTCTGGGCTTCTCGCGCCCGGACACACTTCTTGTTATGATCCTCTGGTAACCAGTGTCCTTTCCGAAGGCACCAATCCAGCAGAGGTGTGTCGCATTTGTTCGGGTCGATGGCCGCAATGATGGCGCTCACATTGACCGCGTAACCATATTTGCCAAGGTTCAGGCCATCCCTCACGAATGATATATATTTACAGTTGAAAGCCAGCGAAAAGCATCTGAAAATAATATCACCCACCGGGCGCACTCGGTCCTTGACCAGGAGCTTCATTTCGTCCTTGGTGACATCGAGGATTCTCGCTGCAATCCACAGCTTGTAGAATGTATATAGTCCCTCGCATTTGCACACCATCATACGAATATACTCTTCACGCTCCTCAACCGATCGGAAGACCCTTGTCCGAACATTCTCTGATTGAGAAATCTTCAGTGCCGTTGATGGCAAAAGGATCCCTTCCTGATCGTGCTCGGTGATGTTGGGGTATCTCTTGAAGTCGTTGTGATAAGGGCAGCCCGGCCTCCCCTCGAGTCCGGCATTCAACGTTCTCTCCTCGCCACCCTCGAACATCCCCCACATCTTGGACATCTGCAGTGCGATGAATCCCGCCATGTATTGAGCCTCGCGCGGCTCATCAAGGCAAATCGCCATCCGCTGGGAATTAATGATATCCCGTGATGCCAAGTCAGTGTCGCGGTAATGCCAACCGCCATCTTCTTCTTCAGACACGTAGCCGGACGTATATCCTTGCGTGTCCATGTCGTCTTCTTCAGGAACTTCCTCCGCCTCGTCATCATCCTCCTGTGCTGCCGCATCATGGTTGGCTTCTTCTTGTGCACGCCTGGCATCACCCGAGACATTGGGCTTTTGGTTGTCCTCCTCGTCGTCGGAGTTAATGTGGACGTAGAACCTCCCGGTGGAGATCAGTTGCGCTTCACATTCCAGGCATAAGCAGAAGCATGTGGGGATTGCGGTCGCACATGACGGACATATCCGGCACCTCAGTCCTTCCCATGTCTCGTCATTCAGTATGACGACTTTGCTGACTTCGTCCCTGACCTCGTTGACCTGTGCATCGAACTCCTCCATCTTGTTGTCCCGATGAGATCGCATGCACGACCAACCATGTCCTTGATGTAGTGCAGATTATCGGCACCTGCCTCGGTCTCAGGCATCCTCTCGTTGATCTTTGCGACGTTCTGGAGGAACATCGCAGCCGACTCTTGGGATGAGTTGACGAAACCAGGACAGATCTCGTTCTCCACACATTTCGAGTACGCTCTCTTGATGTCAACGTACTCCAGGCGTTTCCCTCCGTTGCTTTTGCCAATCCAAATGGACTTGACCTCATAGAACGGGATCACGTCAAAGACCATGAATGTCCCATTTGCCGCGACTCCAGCTCCATACCGCGCGAGGGTTGCACTGGGAATGTAGATGATCGCAATCGGATCCCCCTTCCTTACGTTCCGTAGCGTCACCTTCGTTGCCACGTTCATCTCATCCCATGGAGCAAACGCCCCGAAGTGCAGTGCTAGCCTGTTACCGCCATCGATTCCGCCGGGGACTAACCCACAGCGTACGATGCTTGGCAGATTTTCCACATACGTCACATGGAATGCTCCTCCGAGAGAATCACCCATTCTTGCGGAATACCTATTTGCCAGTGCGGATGAGCTCATGAATCCAAAATCACTGTGACCAGTTGTGACTCGGATGCACCAAGGTCTGTACCATCCATCGCATCTGTTGAACATCCTGTCGATGTCGTCCCGATCCAGGCCAGCTTTGGTCATTTCCTCCCTGGCCGCCCTCGTGTCGTTCGGGTTCATGATGCTTGGAAACCTTGCTGCCAGGACCTGAAATCTCGATTTCCTGTGTCCAGATTCCTGCCACTTGATCACCTCCATGATGCCCATGTATCGTTTCGCTCTCGAGGTGTTAGGTGGGAATATGTCGTTGTTCCGGTCGTCAATGACTGCATCAATGTCGACCCATCCACCTTCGTCGCACCTGAAAGCACTTCCTCGGCAATTGCCGATTTTGTGTCGAAGGACTCTGCATAGGTCGTGAGATAGCTGGTTTGCTTGGTCTTTCGTAGCAAATACCGAGCGATCATCGCCAATCCTGCATAGTCAAAAGGAGCAACGCAAAAATTGACGCTCTTGCCAAGTTGCATCACATCCACCTGCTCAAGGTTGGCACCTTTGGGAAAGTACCTGGGGTCAACAATAGACGCGTACGCCCATGGCAAATGCACATCACTCATGTCGCCGTACTTCGGGATGTAGCACGGGATGGTGTCACACCCCATCTCTAGCGTCTTCTTGAATGTCCTGTTGTCCCCGCACGGATTGTAGGTGAGGTCCACGCCACCGCATTGTAGCTCTCCTCCCTCAGCCGTGTCAGCCATCTCCACCAAGTTGATGGTATAGCTATACATTTCAATTGTTTCTTTCCCTGCTTGTCCTCCTCTCTTTCGTTCCTTGGACGTTGATGAGGACGGCTCCTCCGTATCCCCCATTTCTTCATCCGATGAAACAGGATCACTGCTGAGTAGCTCACGGATCTTCTTCATCGCCTTCTCATTCCCAGCAGCCTCCTCAATGTCCTT